AAGAAATCGCTCAAGAAATCGCCAATATAAAATCCACCCTTTGTTCCAACCACAGTATCTAGTGATGGGCGATTCCGAGTCCAAAGTATTCAATCCTTCAATTCCAAATGGAATCGGACTCGTATCGAAAGAGAAGTAGGAATCACTTGAAACGATTCCGAACCAAGCCACACCTAACCACACCTTTTAATATTAAAAATAGTTAATAAACCAGTAGTTAATATCTTAATTATTCCTTATAATTGATAACACATGACTTTGCGCATGCACAGATGTAATACTCGGAATCAGTATTCGATTCCATTGATTCTAGTCTCAAAAGTATTCAGAATCGGAATCAAATGTAAATTTCTGGATTCGCCCATCACTAATAGTATCACAGGCAAATTTGCCAAATTATAATTAATTAGTGGGTGTGGTTAATTACCTCATTGATTGCAAAGATGGTTCTTGTGAAAGAAGTTACTGAATAACCAAATCCAATGGAACTAAGGAACTTACTTGTCATCAGGATCAGTAGCATTTAACTTCTTTAATATTTCCAACTCAGGCAATACCAATCTTGTGCCTGATAGCACAGAATTGAGGTAATTATGAATGATGTAAGGAGAATAAACACACAGCTTTTCTTATCAAGGCAACTGAACTCAAACTATCGATGAGCTACTGCATATATAAGGTTTCGTCTTTATCTTCTGATTTTTAGACCCACTTCAGTTGAATGACTTGCTTAAAGCACTCGAGAGATTTGGAGTGAAATTGCCTGCTCTTCCCTGGCAGTCACTGGGTGATAGGCTACCTGATAGGAAGAGAATAAGTTCATCAATATGTATCAGGAAATGTAATGAAAAATTAGGGTGATTTCGGAGCCATTCTTAGAAAAAAAACATGGGTTATTAAAACCTTGGGTATTTTTCAGAATTTTAGAATATTATTCTATAAAATGGCTGTAGCTTTAAAAATTGAAGTCAGAACCAGCTCAAACTTTCTACACAACATAAGGATATCAATGTACATGTACTACAATTATTAATTAGTAGGTGTGTCTAGCCACACCCACTCACATCATCTTGTTCCTGATTATCTTAATGGCTACTTCTTGACTTGATCTTGAGGTGTCCCTAGCCCTCACTACATTACTGAACACTCCCTGACCAGTGTACCCATAGACCATGTATAGTCTGTCCAGTTGTTCACCAATACGCACCTCTAGTGGAGAGAAAGAGAAAAATACTATTTTTGAAAATTTTTTGCAAATTTTGCATTTCTATAATTCCATAGAATTAATTTTTTGCAAATACATAGCATCACATGGCAATAGAGATGCAGAACTTTGCAGTAAAAAATTTTTGCAACGGAGCAAAACCGCAAAACTTATGAAAATATTAATTATTCCACCACAAAAATAAATCAGTTACGGTAAATAAAATGATTATACATGTACATGTTAAAATACAGTTGAGACTGCTGTTGAATCGGCTGAAGTTGCTAAATATGCCACTAATCCTCATATATGTACATGTACAGCTATCAATATCAAATAAATAATACATTAATTCACGGTTAATAGGTGGCACATGTGTATGTATATCAAAAATAAATAAATTAATAATAGATTAATAGACTAACTGTAATATCCTTCAGCATCATCCCAGTTATCAGTTAATGATCATTCTCTCCAATACCATCAGCTAACAGTGCCTTACTCGGACTCTGGAGGGATACACATGTACATGTACATAAACCAGAGAGGAGGGAGAGAGAGAGAAAGAGAAAAATGATATGTACATTGTATACATGTACTGTAAATGAGTAAATTCATAAAGAACTAAAAATTGACAGACTTCACACAATTTTTTGCATTTGAGCTCACAAAAATATTACTTATATCTTGCATTTTTTAAAACCACAAAAATCAGCAAGTCAACATAAATTCCCTATTACACAATATTAATGATATTCATTATTTAAGCTCCACCCATACTAATTAATTAACTCACCAGCCATGACTTCTCCTTCCCAGTGATATCCTCTTCACTGAATATATCCAGTACAGCTCCTGTCTTTATGGTACTCAGTCCTGTATTTATCTCTTTGACCTCATCTTCACTCATCAACTGATCATCAGTTCTTAATACTGGAGGAACATCACCTGTGGAGAGCTTCCTCTCAGCCTATTAATAACAATACATAAAGCTACATGTATCGTATAGCAGGAAATTTTGTAGGAAATTAAATTTGGTGAATTGGCATTTTGATAGCAATTCGCAAAAATTAAAACCTGCCATTTTCAGCAATTATGTGGAAGCTCAATGGCGCGTGGCCACAAATTTTCCAAATTAAAATCCACCAATTGCCCAAAATTTAGCAATTCACCAAATTTTACTTCCTCAAAAATTTTTCGCCAAAATTTACTTCCTCCAAAATTTTTCGCCATACGGTATATAGAAACATGTACCACCTATTAACCAAGTATTAATAATAATAATTATTTATTTGATAGTGGTAAGTGATAACTGTACATGTACAATACATGTAAAATGAATTATAATTTTATTGAGGATTAGTGGCATATTTAGCAACTTCTGCCAAAATCAATAGCAAATTCTGCGTCTCCATTGCCATCAGCAGCTTAGAATGGAAATGAATGTAAATAGAACAAAAGTCTGTAATTCTTTCTAGAATGAAAATTATTCTTGACTAAATACAGGTCTAATCAATTTGAAATAAATACAGGTGTACAATTTGAATTGAACAAATTGGAGGTTACAAAACTTTTTAGCAGATCGGTATCATAGAATTTAATCAGTTTTCAATAATCATTAAAATTATAAGAATATTAATCATTTTAATGATCATTATTTCTAATCGTTTTAATAAACAACTAGTCGATTATTAACAGAATCACAAACATACAAGAATCCATCTTTATTAAATGCTAATCCATGAGGACGATAAAACTGATCAATATTACTGCCTAATCTTCCAAACTTCCTAACAAACACACCATCACTAGTGAAGACTGATATACGATTATTGCCCTCTTCACTAACATACACTAGACCAGTAGCTGCAGTGTCTATTGTTATACCTATTGGATATCTAAGCTGTTCAGGACCAGATACTTTAGTACCAAACTGACCCACAAACTTTCCATCTGGAGAGAACTTCTGAATGCAACAATTAATACAATCAGCAACATACACTAATTCTTGACTGTCAATAGCAATGTCACATAGATTCTGAAACTGTCCATTAGCTGATCCTTCACTACCAAATGAATGAGAGAAGGTTAGATCAGGATTCAAGACTTGTGTACGATCATTACCCCAATCAGCAATATAAACCTGTCCTGTTATAGGAGAAATGGCTATACTTTCAGGAGCAATGAATTGTAGTGGTCCACTGCCCTTCTCACCAACTGATGCTATAAGGTATCCATCCATGCTTATCTTCTGGATCCTGTGACTATCAGATACAAGAATGAATTTGTCTGAAGTAATGGCTACACTACAAGGAGAAGAAAACTTGACATTACCACTTCCTCCTTTCCCTCCTAATGACTTCACTTTCTTTCCTTCTCTATCCAGTATTGTTACACAGTTACCAATATGTTCAACTATTATAACATGATTATCATCACTTACAGCAACTCCCCCAGGATAGCTAAGCTTAGTTATAGTATGTACTGGAGTGATGTTATCAAGGTAAGGATTGATAGGGATGACTAGTGAGGTATCCTCAAGGTGTACATCATATACTTGTACTTTTACTGTATGAGTACCACTGGTTGAAGGCTTCCACTGTATCCTATACACTCCAGGATCAGTGCTGGTGGTAGTGACTGTAGTGTCAATGGGTTTATGGCCTTTACCAACTGGTACTAGACTACACCTCAGAGAAGAGAGGGGAACACACAAAACACATGAATCTGGTGCCTCCATTGATAGTGAAAACGAAGCTACTTTGCCAGCAGGAGTAATACGATCAATCTTCTTCACTCTACACTGCTGTAGTGCAGTAGCTCCAGAAATAATATCTCCAATGTGATGCAGTGATTTGATATCTTTACTCAATACAAAGTTACCTTTTTCCTTTGGATGTAACTCCTCCACGTTGATCCCTCCAGTAACTTCACTCATACGCTCCATCATCTGTTTCTTACACCTCAGAACTTGTTGAGGACTGCCTGTTTTCAGACTCTGTTCCACATCATTCTTAACTCTCTCCAGAACACTCAAACTCATTTCTGCTGATTTCATTTGCTCTGACAGCACCTTTAGTTTATCATCAGTGACCCTCTTTACCTGCTCAGTCAGTTTCCTCTCTGACTGACGAAGAACACCAATCATTTCCTCTACCATTTCATGTATTTCTTCTAAGAATCCGTCTCCTCTCTCTCTGATCTCACCCTCTCTCTCTGCTAGAGCAGACAGGACCTTCTTGAGTGCTTCCTTCTTTCCCTCAACTGGTGATAGACATTCTCTTAGCTTTTGACAGTGTTTAGTATAACTGTCAGTGATTAAGTCGTATTCATGATGTTTGTGATTACGAACTTGACAGGTAACACAGATTACTGTATCACATGTTTCACAGAATAGCTCCAAAGGTTTTCCATGATCACTACATGTGGCCTCTTGTGGATTTGGTAAATCTGCTGTCTTCTTTGTTAGACTGTACATCTCTTTGAGGTTGTTGAGGTGGAATGCTACAGGAAAGGCTCCTGCTCCCCCTTTTGGTAACTCTGTACGATGACGACAAGTGGGACAAGAGAGGTAATAGGTCTCATTCTTCTTATCCAGAGGTAATCCCTCCAGACAGTGCTCACAAAATGAATGTAGACAAGGTAAAGTCTTAGGGTTGGTATAGTGGTCAAGACACACAGGACAGGTGAGCTGTTCCTCCAGTTTGAGTCTAAGACCAGAAGATGATTTGGTTGCCATTTCAAGAAAAGAATAAAATTGTGTACGTAAAGCAAGAACAAAAAATGAAGAGGGATAAAGGTAAGCTGAACAGGATGACAGCCCTGATGACCTCTTGTCTCGTGACTACAGGAAGTTATGATAGTACATTCCTTTATTATAACAACCAGTAGTAAATGAATGAAAATGTAAAGCAAAATAGCAACTGAAATTCCTGTATGGTGCAGCAAATAAATAATAAACAGTGCATGCTCAGTAATGGACTGTGCACAAAAATCGCTAAATTAAAAACCACCAATTACAATTTTAAAGCAAAAATTAATTATTAAAATACAAATGAAATGGCAGCTACAGGTACACACACATGTACTCCTGGAGGCTCCATACTTCATGACCATCAGTTGCCTATAGCATGTTGCTGAGACTTGTACAGTACATTATACATGTACAGTACATTATACATGTACTGTACATGTAAATGTATAATACATGTACATGTATCAGGAAACTGAACATGTACATGCTGCTGCAGTTAATTTCAGGAGTTAACTAAATCTTATGAAGGAACTCCTTCCAAACCTAAGAAGATCATTAACATTTTATTGACCACCAAACTCACCATTTTATCTTACATACATGTATACATACACAAGTCGTAACATGTACATCTACTGTATGTGTGTACCTCATTGATGGTATTTTCCAAGTCTTCAGTTGCCTCTTGAGCTACAATATCAGAATATCATCACTAACAACACAGACTGATACTGCGGGACTGGGGTTAACACTATCAACTGATAATGGAACCTGAGGGGGGAGAGAGGGAGAGAGAGAGAGAGAGAGAGAGAGAGAGAGAGAGATGTTTGCAATGTATGTACATGTGAATGCATGTGTTAATTAATACAGTGAATCCTCAGGATAGCTTTCTTAACAGACACTGTAACATAATCAGTTTTATCCATTCACCACAGGAACATCAATAACATGTACATGTACATGTAATGTATAAGTATTAAATGAAAAACATTATGGTACACACTACTTATAATGTATAATGTCATCTACAGTACATGCATTGTCCATTATAAAAAATTCCGTTTATATACTGTATGTCCTTAAATAAAAGCCCGGGCGTCTATTTCCTAAATTTAAATGGTATTTGGATCTCGAAAAAACATATAAAAGTAAAAACAAGCGTAACAGTGTAAAAAATATTCCTATTTTGTATCTTCTGTTGCTGCAAGCCTTAATGCTCACAAAGGCTCGCATGGTGGGTAATTGCCTGACCCGAGTTGCATAGGTAATGCAGCATACCTATTTATCAAGCAGCTGATTGTGCCACAGCTATGGTCCGTCCAAATCCTAGTA